GCTCAGCACTGAAAGTGTTCGACGGGCAAATGTGCTGGGAATCACTCATACTCTAATCCCTCATGAAGATTCTTACATGACCCTACTGAGAAGTCCCGCACAAAAGAAACCTGTTTATCTTGGTAAAACACAAATTTATTTGACCACAGGTAATAGCCTTAACATCTCATGGAAACACTACAAGATTCCAAAGGGTTTATGTGTATAAAGCAAGCAATTTACTAGTGCGTTTGTTTTTTCTAAATAAATATTCCTTTTTGAAAACATCAGTAACTACATGACCCTCTTGGGTTTTTTTGTTTTGTTTTGTTTTGTTTTTAATCTATGGAGGAAAATCTCAGCTGAGGCTATTTCTCTAGAAATGAAGAGACAGTCACATTATAGCAACAGCCAGAGAGGCAGGCTATTAGACATGGAAACAGCTTTAAAATTTGACCTTAACCATGTAGGAGATATCACTCATTTAAGGACTTCATTTTTCACTAAGATTCTGAAACTGCCTTCTAAAAACCAGCAGTATACCAGTGGCTGGAATTTATAGCTCATCTGGTAGGTGGCAGCTGCTGTCCCAGAATATACTTCACACACACTGTGGTACTTTAGAAGATGCTCAGGCTGAAAGAGGATAAATGATGTGCCCCAGGCCACGGGGAAAGAGCTGACCAAAGAGTAGTGTGGTTCCTCAGCCCCTGCTCTGAACTGCCCGTCTTCACCATTCTTTCAAAAACGGATCAGTAACAGCAAGGAAGGGCTAAAATCATGCTTAAAATAAAACTAATAAACATATCCCCAAAGAGAGAGTCACTTAAAAAATCGTCACTTGGGAAACTAACACAAATAGTCATATGAACTCTGACCTTTAATACTTGCTGACTTAAACAAAATCGAGTATAGATATTTCAAAGGAGAACTCTACACATTTTTCTGTAACAATAGGGAATCTTAAGTCCATATGTGGAGTAAATAAATACCCCTATTCAGTAGTCCCCAAACATTTGACTGAAAGTTCTGTGTTCTTGTCTGACACTGTTTTAGTTGAAAAAGCTGTCAACTTTCCCAAAGTACGTCAGGTCTTCCCCTCCTGAAAGATAGATCAGAAGGCCGGCTGGTTTTCAAACAGCTGTGTTCTTTTTAAAGTGGCCATGACAAGGACCAGGGCTGCTCTCATACAAACCAGGGGCCAGGAGTCGGACTCACCCCCTTGGGTGACCTTCCCCAGCACCTTCCCAGGGCTTCAGCTGTTCAGGCAAGTACCTGCCTTCATAGGCGTTTGCACATATGCTTACCGTATACACCTCTGAACTTTCTCCGCAACCCATTTTTGATTTTATGGCTCATCTTCTCTGAGCTAAGATGTCTCTGCCAAAATAAGTCACTGGGCCACGCTTCACTTTGGAGGAAATAAAGGTGCAGCAGGCCTGGTCACTAGGAGCTTCTGTCATCCCAGCAGTCCCTTCTCTTATGTGTGCTTAGGGCGGCAGGAGCACGCATACATGAAACCCAGTTATTTGAAACCAATGGCCTCAACTTCCTCTATGCACAAAACCTCTTACCAGCTCTGCCATGACTTTCACTTCCTTCCAGAGCCTTCTCTCTGGTGACCTGTCTCAGAGGCAGTAAAATAGCCCAAAGGCAGGAAGGCAGGAGAGTCTGTCCTTGAATAGACTGAGGAGCTCCTAAACAGCCCAGCGGCATGGACTTGGCTGTGGATCAGCCTTTAGTGACTGGGGCAGAATGATTACTATGTGAGAGAAATGAACCCAGCTGACCTTCACTGAAAGTGCAAGAAAGATGCGGGATCCATCTGCTTCTCTAGATTGAATGTTAATCTGGTAGTAGGTTCAGAACGTTGTGCTGGGTAGAGACTGGGGGTGATTATTTCAAACTATCTGGCTAACAATTAACAAACAAACCCTCAAGGTGTCTGCCCCTGAAAGCTGATTTTACACACACACACACACACACACACACACACACACACACACACACACACATACGGTGTAATAGTTTGGGACTGACAAAAACCCAAAAAAATTGTAAATCACTATATTGTACACCTGTAACTTATATGAAATTGTACATCAACTATACATCAATAAAAAAGAAAGTGAAAAATAAATAAGTAAAAAGAACTGCCACCTAGTGCCAAACCTATACTATTACTCTGATAAATCATCCTGTGTGGCCCTTCAGAATTCAGGACTTCAGTCCACCAGTGTCCTTGTTGTAGGCTTATTAATGAATATTCATAATGTGCTGAGTATGTGCAAAGCAAGTATTACTGTGTTATACTTACCAGAGTTCACAAGCACTCACATTAAATAGATATTAGGGACTTCCCTGGTGGTGCAGTGGTTAAGACTCCGCCTGCTAGTGTGGGGGACATGGGGTTGAGCCCTGGTCTGGGAAGATCCCACATGCTGTGGAGCAGCTAAGCTCGTGCGCCACAACTACTGAGCCTGCGCTCTAGAGCCCGTGAGCCACAACTACTGAGCCCATGTCCCACAGCTACTGAAGCCTGTGCGCCTAGAGCCCATGCTCCACAAGAGAAGCCACAGCAATGAGAAGCCTGCACACTTCAATGAAGAGTAACCCCCGCTCCCCGCAACTAGACAAAGCCCCTGCGCAGCAACGAAGACCCAATGCAGCCAAAAATAAATAAGTAAAATAAATAAATTCATTAAAAAAAATAGATATTAGTTTGAGCCACATGAAATTGCCTTTTTTGTAGTTAAAAAACTATCAAATATCAAGCTTCATATGGCTCAGCCTAAATCATTTCTAGGTTTTCTACCTAATGGATTTTCCTCTAGTTTCAAAAGTTACAGGAAGAATGTTTCACAGACAATGAGCAACTTGGAAAATTCCTTCTTTCTGTCGTCCTTCCTTCCTCCTCTTCCTTTCATCTCTCAGCAAACACCGACTGACTGTCTTGTAAGAACAGTCCCTTGGCTGTCAGTCCTGTGACGGTGCAGAACTAAGTAAGGCGCTGCCCTTGACCATGAATGGTTCCTAACTAGCAGGGAGACCAGACTGAAACAACTCACAGCAGTGCACAACCCGGCTCTCAAAAGGTGCAGGTGAGACAGATCCGGGGTTGGGGAACAAGGCAGGAAAAGGGGGCTCAGGAGAGTCCCAAGGAGAGTTCCACAGTCCCTGCCTTGGTTGAGAATTTGCTCTGTGCCAGGCACTGGGTGGTGTCAGAGGGGATGAGGGATGCCTGGGATCCAGCAGGCTTAAAGACCCAGGGGCTCACTTACTGTGCCTGTGACACTGGCCTATCCTGAGCTAGTCACAGAGATGTAGGGGTGCAGATGCCTTAGGAAGGGGAGCATTTCTGGTTGTGGAGCTCACGGTGAGCAGTGACCCGGTTCAGGGGTCACAGTGAAGAGAGAACCAAAGGCTAGCCTTACGTAAGGACGCATCATGTGGCAGGCACTGCTCCTGGGGCTGTGCCTGCCATTACCTTAGTCACCAGGCACAACCCTTCTAGGAGGCGGTCATGATTATTTTCATAGGAGGAAACCGAGACACAGGGAGTATACATGCTTGTCAAGGGCCACACAGCCAATGGCCCCAGAGCCCATGCACTTAACCACTGAGCTGCACCTTTTGTGTGAGGAGACGTGCCTTTCAGAGGGCACCACAGAGAGCTTCAGAAGAGAAGGAAATGTGTCACACAAAAGCAGTGGATAGGGGCTTCCCTGGTGGCGCAGTGGTTGAGAGTCCACCTGCCGATGCAGGGGACACGGGTTAGTGCCCCGGTCCGGGAAGATCCCATATGCAGCGGAGTGGCTGGGCCCGTGAGCCATGGCCGCTGAGCCTGCGCGTCCGGAGCCTGTGCTCTGCAGCAGGAGAGGCCACAACAGTGAAAGGCCCGCGTACCGCAAAAAAAAAAAAAAAGGCAGTGGATATTCGGAGAACACCTAAGATGGTCCTTGCTGGCATCAATTCATCTTTCTAAAACTTACATCTCTGGAAACTCCTCAAGCTTTCAGGTATAAAGTCCAAACTTCTCAGCCTGCTTTTACATGGCCCTTCTCCAGCTCACCTATCTCATCAGCCTCCCTTCCCCTACCTGGCTCTCTTGTCTGTCGAGGGCCTTCCTCTTTACAACCCTGTCACTAGGCTCTGCCCACTGTCCTCCCTTTTCTATTTTATTTATTCATTTTTGGCTGCATTGGGTCTTTGTTGCTGCACGCAGGCTTTCTCTAGTTGCGGCGAGCGGGGGCTACTCTTCGTTGAGGTGCGTGGGCTTCTCATTACGGTGGCTTCTCTTGTTGCGGAGCACGGGCTCTAGGCGCGCGGGCTTCAGTAGTTGTGGCATGCGGGTTCAGTACTTGTGGCTTGCGGGCTCTAGAGCGCAGGCTCAGTTGTTGTGGTGCACGGGCTTAGTTGCTCCGTGGCATGTGGGATCTTCCCGGACCAGGGCTTCACCCTGTGTCCCCTGCACTGGCAGGCAGATTCTTAACCACTGCACCACCAGGGAAGCCCCACGTCTTCCCTCTTCTAGAAGATCCTTCTCTACCAGGCATGGGCCTCTTTCCTTTGTGACTCCATTAGAGCTCTTTTGACAACAGAAAACAGAAACTCTACCCAAATCGGCACTAGGAAAAAAAAGCTCAAAAGACCCACTTAAGAAAGGAAGAGCCTCTTCCTTATTTTTTTTATCAAAGACCCAGGGGCTCACTGTGCTTGTGACACTGGCCTATCCTGAGCTAGTCACTGTAATTGGCCAGCCTTGAGAAGAACAGTGCTTGACACAGATTAGGTACACAATGGATATTTACTTGTTATTAATTATTGATAGTTAAGAATGAATGAATGAACTCTCCAGTGCAGTGTGCTAAGTGCAAACAGAGTTAAATCTAAGTGACAGTGAGGTGGCCAAAGGAAGGCATGTCCAGGAAGGCATGTCCAGGAAGGCTTGGGTGAGGTTAGGGGAGACTTTGTAGGTCAGAAAATGCCTGAGCCTGATCTACAAAGATAGGTAGAGTTCCTTACATCAGGGCAGGGGGCTGGCCAAGAGGAGAGCGGGACCACTGCAGAGAGCTGGAGGAGGCTGGGTAAAGGCTGAGGGGCATGAAGCCAGCTGGTGTGCTTAGGAAATGGTAATGGTTCATATGTGCTGGCCTCTTGGACACAGCTGGGGAGAGGAAGTGGAAAAGGGCAAAGAGATGTGTGCATGTGTGTGCAGGGTGACAGGGCAAGGGGACAAGGTCGTCAAAGTCCCTGTATATAACTCCAAGAAGGTTACTCTCAAGTAGTCAGGAGCTCTTGAAGGGGCTTCCACGTCAAGTCAGCCAGGGGTTGGGTTCCGGTTCACTTGTCAGCTGGGTGGTCATGAATAAGTTACTTCAATCACCCCAATTCCTCCCTCCCTGAGCTACCGTGAGGACGGAACACGCAAAGCACCCCCTCCAGCACCTGGTGCATGACAGATGCTCAATAAATGCTAGTGTTCCTTTTCTTGTCACCTGGTTGATTTTTACACTTAATTTACTGGAGGAAGAAAAAATCCAGTAAATTAAAAACTCTGTGTATATCATTTTACAATCCCAGAGTTCAACCAGTGTTTCAAAGCTGGGGGAACTGGGTCATGCGTTACTTCCAAACATTCATGAGGGTAAATACGGCTTCAATTTCCTCTCGTCCCTATTTATTTCATCATGATCTGAAGATGTGGGATGCAGGCTTGCTGCTGAAGCATGTATTTCATACTTGTCACTTTGGGATTTCGGGGAGGTCCACATATAGAGCTTGACAATATTGCCGAATCCCTTTAAAATTCATATAGCTCCAGGCTAAAGATACACAGAGGGATTTTCGAACAGAAATCACAGAGGCAGGCGTATTTGCCTGTAATGAACGACTTGTCTTCTTAAGGAACTCCCTCAGCCAGACGTATTTCTTCCTAAGAACAAATTAGTCAAGAGCGGCTGATGATTAGAATCACGCCACAGAGAGACAGGAGGACTGACGCTTGAAGAGGGAAACAATTCCCAATATAATGCTTTGTTTAGCAGCTTTCAAATTAGACACAAAGCAAGTTAATTTACTTTGTCAGTGTGTAGAGTAGAAAGGACAGCAGCTTTGAAGTCAACCAAGCCACATTCTAATTAATAGTTATTAGTGATACAACCTGCAAGTTGCTAGCTCTATGACCCTGGGCCATCCCTGGGCCTCCCCAAGCCTAGGGTGTTGTTGGTTTTTGTTTTTTGGTTTTTTTTTTGCTATTTTACTGATAAAGCATAGGAACTCAAAACTTAAAGATTGTTATGAAGCTGAATGAAATAATGTAACTTTATAATGGATTAAAAACTATGCCATGCTTGATAAATGTAAAGTTTTTGGTAACTATAAATTTCTTATAATCATTCAAGATGAAAAATATTAGAATTATTTTATATCATGAATTGTTTTACATGGAATTTATATAAACTGTGATAAACTATCACTAGGCCTACTATGTTAAATGCATGTTGGGACATCGATAGCTCATCATTTTGCAGCTTATTTCTGATTCTCAACATGAGTATTAAAGAAGGATCTGTTGCACATGACAGTGATTTGACTTCTTAATAATTATTTTAAGCCACCAAGTCACATGAGAGCAATAAAACTTGCATTTTTAAACTTTAACTTAGTCTTCTGATGGCTAGACACCATTAGCGACATAAATGGGGACTAGGTACAAAGTGAATTACCTTTGTGGAAACTTCAAAGTGATTATCTATAAAGAGAGACAAACCCATTCGGGACATTTACAAACTATTGTCATAAAATCCAGCCAGACATTTCATTATCGAGGAATGAGTAATGCCAGTTCTGCAACCTGTTCCAGAGGCAACAGACACAAATCACCTAAGATGTAGCTTTGACAATTTCACATCCATTAATAACAATGGAAATTATTCAGAAAAACTAAGCATGTGCCGCAACTAAGAAGTCCACATGCTGCAGCTAAAA